GAACGAGAAGTGCGTGCCGAGCCCGCGCGGGAAGTGAGCTCGTCGGAAAAGGCGCGCGGCGCCGACGCGAAAACGACACGTCGCCCTTTCGCGCGCGATGCGTGCCCCGTCCCAATCGCGCCACGCACGTCGATGACGCAACGCTGATGACGGAAAGAAGCGCGACGGCTGTGTATTGCTCTGTATGGGAAGGGTGGTGCGTCCTGGATGGGGCTGCTTCCAGATGAGTGAGCGGCCTGTGCGAGTGCCTACTGATCGAATCAGCCCGGTCGAGCGGGCCCCGCCCCTTCTCCTCCCCCCCGCCACGTAGGACTCAGTGGTGGCACGGCTTGACGCTGGGAGTGGAACCGCGATTCCACCCAGCGAGCGCAGAGCTGTTGCGCGCGGCCCTGCCTCCAGCGATCCGGGGTCGGAGGGCACCAACTATACACCAACACCGATCCTGGCCCAGGATCACCCTGGGCCCAGGATCGGTGTACATGCCTTCTTGCGCAAGGCAGGAGGGCGTATACACCGATCCTGGGCCCAGGGTGATCCTGGGCCAGGATCGGTGTTGGTGTATAGTTGGTGCCTTCCTAGAAGAAGTGCGGGCCGCGCACGGGCGCGAAAGGACTTCGCAGCTTCCTGGCGCGGCTGCGCTTTGCGCTCGGGGGAGCGAGCCATGTCGCCCGCCTCCGCGCGGCCCCAGGGCCGCTGCCGCTGCCCGTCTTGCGCGCTTCGGCCAGCCAAGACGCGCGCCGCGCACGCGCGGGCGCGCCGCTTCCAGGCGCAGTCCGCACGGATCGCGCGCGAGAGCGACAGGTCGTCCGCTCGAGCGCGGCTTCGCCCCCAATGACGCGGCGAGCGATACGGATGCGCCCGGTCGACGGGGGAAAACGCCACTTTCAGGCGAAATCTGCGCCGCGTCCGAGCAACGCCCACACCGTTTTTTTTGCCCACTCCCGCCGCGCATTTGGCAATCGCGACGACAAACCGGCCATGCTGAAACGGAACATGTCGGTTTTGCGTTTGCTGTCTGTCGGCTCGGTTGCCCGGCTGGAATATTCGAAGCCTATTGAAGAGAACAGCTCTCTGCGCCAGGATGCAAAATTTGATGCGGCTGCCCATGCAGCCCCCTCTCCCCTCTCTCCTTTTCCGCTTCTCGTCGTTTCGATATTGCTCTTCATTGAGATGCTGGAGATGATGTCGCCATTGCAGCTGTCTTCGCTCCGACTAGTCGTCGTCCTCTTCCCGTAATCATATTTGTTGTGTTAGTTTGTGTCATCCTCTTCCTTCTGCCCCCTCCTCTTCTCTCCGTGTTGTTGAGTTTATGTCGCTGCTCGTTTGTTTGCCGTGCTCTTCCATTCATGCTTCTGCGCGCGCTCCCTTTTTTTTTTTTTTTTTTTTTTTTTTTTTTTTTTTTTTTTTTTTTTTTTTTTTTTTTTTTTTTTTTTTTTCCCCTCTCTCTCTCTCTCTCTTTTCTCTCTCTCTCTCTTTCTCTCTCTTTCCTCTCTGACTCTCTCTCTTCCTCTCTCTCTGCGGAATTCTCATCCTGCGCTGAGTGGCCTCGGTCGTTCCCCAGGCGACCAGACGATCCACGTGAAGCAACCGCGTCAGGGCGTCAGGGCAGCCGAACCACCCGGACCACCCATGCCAACCATACCAAATGAGAAGAGCCATCCACTATGAATCAGATTGTAGCCGAGAAGAGATAACCGTTCTTCGTTCGAGTACGCGATGGAGTGGGCCCTGAAGCGTACCGTTGGCGAAGGAATGTGGAACCCAGCGAGCATAGACAAATTCTTGGCCGGCTACATCTCTTGGCCGGCTACATCTCCGAGTTCGGGCGGACGGTCAGACGGTTGCAGTGCGCTCTCCCCAGACCGAAGTTGACGGGGCTCCAGCTGGTCGGTTGGCCAGCGTTTACCAGGCATGCTGCGCGGTGGCGCGCCGTGGAGGAGCGCGGGAGGCCGCGCTCAGGTGTCGCGGGGCGCGCGCGGAGAGCGTCGGGCGGACAGTCGAGGGCATCCGCGACGTAATGTTGAGCTCCTTGCGTGCATCATCGAGCTCCTTCTCCATAGACTCGCGAATTGCACCAGGGAGCGTGGTGCCATTCTCGATGCCCTGCAGGGTGGACTCCAGGGACTTGATCTTGGCCAGTAACGTGCGGCCTGCTTCATCAGCGTTTGCTCCGTCATCGGCAGCGGCGGCAGCATCAGGAGGTGGTGCTGCAGGGGAACGTAGTCCTGGCGATGGACCGTTGAGCTGCTTGACGAAGGCCTCCATCTGCTTCTGGAGCTGGCCCAACTGCCGCACAACTGAGTTGTCGGCAGGTGGTCCACGAGCCCAAGCCCCACCAGGAGCGCGCTGGCCACCCTGACGAGGAACAGGCTGACACTCTGAGGCCTTCTTATTGGCCTTGTCGATGACGCTCTGGGGCGCCTTCTTCCCACACAAGCATTTAATGCTGCTCGCAAAATTGGCGCTGCGCCCGCACGATGGACATCCCCACACTGGCGACTTCGGGCCTGGGAGGACATCTGGATCAGGTGGCCCCATGCGCTGTCACAGGGGGACGAGACTGGTGGGGGTTGAGATCCCCCAAACTGAGTTGGTTTCCAAAAAGGCCCGCAGCTGCGATTGCCACTCTGAAGACGGCAGCTGCAAGCCCAGGATCACTGGGCCAAAGCGGCTGAGGAGGAGGAGGAGGAGGAGGAGGAGAAGGAGGAGGAGGAGGAGGAGGAGGAGGAGGAGGAGGAAGGAGCCAGGATGGGGGTCAGGATCAGGAGGCAGGACAGGAGGAGGGGGAGCAGGAGCAGGAGCAGGAGGATCATAATGATGTTGATGATGATGATGATGATGATGAGGAGGAGTTGGAGGAGGAGGATGAGGATGAGGAGGAGGAGGACGACGCTGATGCTGATGCTGATGCTGATGCTGATGCTGATGACGACGACGATGATGATGATGATGATGATGCTGATGATGATGATGATGATGATCATGATGCTGCTGATGATGATGATGATGAGGATGATGATGATGCGGATGATGATGATGATGATGATGATGATGATGATGATGATGATGATGATGATGATGATGATGATGATGATGATGATGCTGATGCTGATGCTGATGCTGATGATGATGATGATGATGATGATGATGATGAGGAGGAGGAGGAGGAGGAGGAGGAGGAGGAGGAGGAGAGGAGGAGGAGGAGGAGGAGGAAGAGGAGGAGGAGGAAGAGAGGAAGAGTCGGAGGAGGGGAGGAGGCGGAGGAGGAGGAGGAGGAGGAGGCGGAGGAGGAGGAGAGGGAGGAGGCGGAGGAGGCGGAGGAGGAGGAGGAGGAGGAGGAGGAGGAGGAGGTGGAGGAGGAGGAGGAGGAGGAGTTCGAGGAGGAGGCGGAGGAGGGCCAGTGCGAGCCCAAGAGTCATCAACGACGTTGGAATAAACCCTCCCTCCAAGCTCCCTCTTCGCAGGCTCCATACACTGATTCATCTCCGCTGAGGGAAGTGCCCCGGACGATTCTGAAGCGTGCCAGAACATCATTTTCGGGACCCCAACGCCACGATTCAACCTGACAGCTGCGTCTGGACGGTCCCGAATCGTGCCAGAACACCATTCCTTGGACGCGAATCAAAGTGATTGTTGCGCCTTGGCAATTCTGAACCGTGTCATAACATCATTTCTGTGTCGTGGGCCATGAGAACTGTTTAAATCGAATGCGCGCGGCGCTCATGTGCGTGAGAGGTACATTTTTAAACGGAGCCGCCTTCTATCAGTTGTTTTGTTATATGTATATGTATATGCATGTATGTATGTATGTATGTATGTATGTATGTATGTATGTATGTATGTATGCATGCATGCATGCATGCATGCATGCATGTATGTATGTATGTATGTATGTATGTATGTATGTATGTATGTATGTGTGTATATATATATAAAGATAACATTTTGCCGACGAGTGTGCGCGGCGCTAAGGAGAGAGCCACATTTTGAAAGCAACCCGCCCTCAAAGTTTGATGAAAGTGTTGCCAATGTTTAAGCTTCATGATTTTAACTTGCAAATAAGGCTTATGCGGAACGCCCGGCGCGCTTTTCCGATCGGCCTCGGGGTGCGACATGGAGGAGTTATTTATAAGGAATGGAACAGGAGGATGTTACGGAAGGCGGATGGGGAGTGGGAACAGGAAGGGGAAGCGGAGGAGGAGGAGGAAAACCAGTGTAAACACAAGACGCATCAACCATGTTGCAAGACATCATCCCTCCAAGTTCATGTTTTCATGTCCCTACAAGTATTTATGTTCATTTCGGGAAATGGCCCATCAAGAGACAACCGCCCAATCGTGCCAAAACACAAATCCAGAGACTTCAGCGCCGCGGATCAACGTGACGGTTGCACCTTGTCAACATCAAGGCGTGCAGAAGCACCGTTCTTGGGTCTTCAGCACCGCGAACCCACGATCCTGTTGCGTCCTGACAATCGTAGATCGTGTCAGAACACCGTTCCTGGAACTTCAACACCGTGGACCAACGGTCCTGCTGCGTTATGACTATCTTTAACCGCGCCAGAGCCATTCCGAGGATCTCGACTGTACGACCTCTTTGAGTCCTTGAAGCCGTTGCAAACTTTTAGGACGAATCTGCGTTGCGCTAGGGCGACCCTTTGAAAAGGAAACGCCCTCCATCCTTAGAACGGTTGCACACTTTTCAGACGATGTGCGCGGCGCTCAGGCGGTACCCACATTTTGAAAATGGGCCGCCCTCCATCCTTGAAGGAGCTGCTGCAACCTTTTAAGGCTAGTGTGCGCGGCGCTTAGGCGAGGGCCACATTCTGAAAACCACCCGCCCCGCATCCGTCAAACGGTTATAATTTTAGCTTCAGGCTGTTACATGGCGAAGAAGTCTCATGGGAAACGCCCTGACCCCCTTACCGACACGTCTGGGGGTGCGACAGGGAGGAGTTATTCATAAGGACAACGGATGGAGGAGAAAGAAGAGGAGGAGGAGGGGGAGGATGAGGAGGTAGCAGGCGCAGGAGTGAGGAGCCAGGAGCTCCGCGAGTGGCAGCACGTCGGCTCCGCCCGCAGCCGCACGGTCGCCGCCAAAGTGGTTCCGTCAGATCAGCTACCGCCGCCTCCTGCGCGCTGGCTATGCAGGCGCCCTTCTTGGGACTCACACGATCACGATGACAAAGACGATGACGATGCTGCTGATGTCATTATGATGGTGATGACGACGATGATGATGCTGATCATGATGATGAGGACATGATTGTAATGATGATGGTGATGCTGATTTTGATAATGATCAGGAACGTGATGATGCTGATGATGCTGATGATGCTGCTGATGATGATGACGATGCTGATGATGCTGCTGCTGATGATGATGCTGATGATGATGCTGATGATGATGCTGATGATGATGATGATGATGATGATGATGATGATGATGATGATGATGATGATGCTGATGATGATGATGATGATGATGATGATGATGATGATGATGATGATGATGATGATGATGATGATGATGATGATGATGATGATGATGATGATGATGATGATGATGATGCTGCTGCTGATGATGATGATGATGATGATGATGGTGGTGATGGTGATGGTGATGGTGATGGTGATGGTGATGGTGATGGTGATGGTGATGGTGATGATGGTGGTAGTGGTGGAGGTGATGTAGCGATGACGAGGAGGAGGAGAAGGAGGAACAACAGTAATTGGTAATAAGAGGATGAGGAGGATAATTATGGCTGAGGGGGAGCATGATGGGAATGGGAAGTGCGGAAGACTTGGTGCTTCCCTGCAGGCCTCTCGGGCCCCCCTGGCCGCGGAGATCGCTCAAGACTGATCGGGGCTCACATGAAGGGGGTCAGCTCTGAGGGGTTTCAGATCAGAAAAGGTACCCATGCCGCTGTTCGTCCTGGAGAGCCCTTGTCGCCACTGCTGGAGTCGCTTCGACATCCCGGTCAGAAAGCACCCCGGGAGAGGCCCGGGGAGCAGCGGCCTTGGTAATTGCTTGTGGCCCGAAGTCCGCTCTGGCTGACCTGGGTTTGGGAGCCACGCAGGGCCGATTTCGGACGGGGCCAGGACGAGGACGAATCCGTTCCAGAGCGTTCCGCAACGCTCGCAGAGCGCTCTGCAACGCTCTGAGAAGGCCGCGGCGCTCGGTAGATCTTCCAGAGCCGCCAGATCTCAGATAGTCTCGATTTATCCTCACCCGATTTTGTCCTCGTCCTGGCTTCGTCGTACGATTCCAGTGACGTCGGTCGGCGTCCAGGGTCCGACCTCCGTGGCTCGGCTTCGGAGGCCACTCGGTGCCAGACTTCGCCGCCGTCTGGCATGTGACTTTGGCACAGTGTGCCCTCCTGGCCGTCGGGGCTCTCTTCAGGGGAACAAGAAGTGACATAAACATAAAAACTCGGAGGTCCGCGCGGGTTTCTCGGATCGGCGCTGGGGCCCCCGGCGGCGCCTCCGGCGCCGCCCGTGGCGCGCTCCGCGCGCCAGGGAGGGGGGTCCAGCGCCGATCCGAGAAATCCGCGCGGACCTCCGAGTTTTTATGTTTATGTCACTTTTTGTTCCCCTACTCTTCCAGTTTGCCACTGCGCCCGTTCGCAGCTGAGTCCTCGCGGGGCCGATTCCCCCTGTCCGCCCTCCGCTGGCCCGGGTGTGGGGGACACTGCCGGCGCCAGGCTTCGCGACGGGGCCCTGGACGATCCGGGCTCAGGCTAGCGCCTGGGTCCGTGCGTCCCCGGCCTTCCAGGGGGTCCAGGGGCAACGTCGGGGGAGGGACTGGCTCGGGGGGGGCATCGAAGCTTCGAGGTCAGAGTTTCGAGGTTTTGGTGGGAGTTTTCGCCGGTTCTCGTCGTCTTTCCAGCCTCGGGACGCGTTCCAGGTGCTGCGCTTCGCCGTGAGCGTTCAAGGGGTGTCCAGATCTCAATGCTTGCCAGCCAATCGGGACCGAACCCACCGCGCCTCTAGAGAGTGTCGAGGGCTGCGGTCCGCGGCGGCCCCTGGACGGGCGAGCGTTGAGTTCCTTGTTGGGCGCGGGCAGAAGCGAGATGAACCGACGTAAGCCAGCGCGTTCGCAGAGCTTGAGGCTGGTGTTTCCGTCGATGGTTATAGCGCGCGCGAGCTCGGCGGCTCTCATTGCCCCGAACGGTTGCCAGAGAGCCGAGGGATCTTGCAGGATCCTGCAGGGCCAGCGTCGCATTGACCCGGGCTTGGGTGCAGGATCCTGCAAGATCTTGCAGGATCCTGCCGGGCCTGACTGATCCGGGTCTGGATTGACCCGGGTCAGACGACCCCCGAGCCCGAAGACCAGGGGGCGACGTTGGGGGGAATAGGCCCAGAGGTGAGATCCATCGACCCCCAATCGCCGATTCATCGCCGACAGGGCCCGATGGCCCACCCCCGCCCAGGAGCGCACTTCTAGCAGTGATATTGCTGCCGTCCCTCCAGCACCTCCTCCTGCTCCTCCCCTCCTCCTCTCTCCTCCTCCTCCTCCTCCTCCTCCTCCTCCTTCCTCCTCCTCCTCCTCTTCTTCCCCCTCCTCCTCCCCCTCCTCCTCCTCCTCCTCCTCCCCCTCCGCCTCCTCCTCCTCCTCCTCCTCCCCTCCTCCTCCTCCTCCTCCTCCTCCTCCTCCTCCTCCTCCTCCTCCTCCTCCTCCCTCCCTCCTCCTCCTCCCCCTCCTCCCCGTCCTCCTCCTCCTCCTCCTCCTCCTCCTCCTCCTCCTCCTCCTCGTCCTCCTCCTTCTTCTCCTCCTCCTCCTCCTCCCCCTCCTCCGCTTCTTCCTCCTCCTCCTTCTTCCATGTCGTGTTTCACCGTGTTTCGCGTATCAGGCGCCTCGGCGCCCCGGCGCCCCCTTCCGCCGCGCCTTCACGGCGCCGCGCGTGCAAAACCGTAGCCGTAACCGTATCAGTAGCAGTAGCAGTAGCATTAAGTCGGGCGTGTCCCTCTACAGGAGGAAGGTTCAAAATGGGAAAAAATAGTCTGGGGGCGATTTGTTTAAAGTGCTTGTGTGTTAGGGGGTATTTTTGGAGTGTTTTCAGCGTTCGCCCAAAATCCCCGTGCAGGGGGACAAGCCCGAGCTAACAGTTGCAGTAGCAGTAGCCCAGGAGTATGCGGATTCGTTATCAAGGCCTGTCGCCGATCTATCGGCGATGTATCGCCGATTCCAATTCGATGTTCCTCCCACCCCCCCTGAGCCAGTCCCCACTAACGTTCCCCCTCACAGGAGCTCAATCCCGATCTGGTCGGTCCGATCCCAGTATTGACCTCGTCTCGCCTAGCACGGTCCGGTTCCGATGTATCCCGATGATCCGATTGGAAGTAGGAAAATCGCATCAGCATAAATTTTCGGAGGTCCGCGCGGATTGCTTGGTTCTGCGCTGGACCCCCTTGCGGGCTCCTCGTGACAGGGAGGAGGGGAGTCAGCACCGATCCGAGCAATCCGCGCGGACCTTCGAGCATGCATGTTGGTGCAGTTGTAATTAGTTTCTTTTCTTCTTATGCCGACGCGGCCCGATGCCCGCACGGGCGCTGCTGTGCACCTCTGGCGCGGCGGGATCCGATCAGGCCAAGCAGGCGAGCGTACCAGCCCTGCGCGCGCAGCGAGGAGAAACTGGATCCACCCGTCGGGGATCGACAGCGGCACTCGCGGGGTGGCAGCCGTGAGGGAACAGACGGGGGAAGGAGGGGACACAGGGTAAATAGGGGACTTCCCCCTCCTCGAGGGAATCGCCTTGCCAAGCCAGGATCGCCCCTTCCTCCTTGGTCTGGTGATTCGAAGAACAAAGATCGGCATAAGCATTACTCGACGCGGAGATCCCCCTTCACGTTTCGCCGAGGAGCTCTGTCAATGAGTATCTGGGTGTGAGAGCGAGTCCGCGTGGACGACTGGCACGGCAATGACGACAGCGACGACTTCAGTGACGTCCTCCTCCTCCTCCTCTTCCTCCTCCTCCTCCTCCTCTCTTGGGCATTTTTCAGGAGAGACGACGGAAACACAAATGGAAGAGCGGGGGGGGAATTCCTCTTGCCGTTCTCCCGCGGGAACTCCGGCAAGCGCGCATGGCGTTGCTAGTTACTCCCGCTCTTTGGCGTGCTTAGGTGCCCAAGTGCCACGCCGGATATATCGCGGTAGCCACGCGTGTGAGCCTTGGTGCGAGTGTAGCTGCGCGTGGGTGGTTTGAGTGTGAGCGAGTCGGAGTGTGAGTGGATCGGGTTATGACCGAGCTTAGGTGTGAGTGAGTTTGGTTTCAGTCAGTGTGAGTATGAGTCGGTCTGAGTATGAGTAAGTCTGAGTGCGAGCGAATCTCAGTGCGGTTGGGTATGGGCGTGGGTGGGTCTGAGTGTCCATGACTGTCAGTTTGAGCATCATGGGTACGAAAATGAGTATGAGTGTCCTGGGTGCGAGGTAGTTTGAGTATGGGTGAGTCTGAGGGCTGGTGAGTCTGAGTGTGAGTGAGTCTGAGTGTGAGTTGGTCTAGGTGTGGGTGAGTCTGAGTTTGAGCGAGTCCGAATATGGGCGAGTAAGAATGTTTGAGCTTGGGTGTGATCGAGTATCTATATGGGCGAGTATGAACGTGATGAACGGTTTTGAGTGAATGAGTGAGAAAGAGGTGCTGCTGAGTAAGTCCGAGTGGGAAAAAGGGAAAGAGGTTGGTGAATGAGTGAGTGAGCGAGCGAGTGAGTGAGTGAGTGAATGGGTGAGTGGGTGAGGAGCGAACAAGTTCAAAGAAAACTCAGGCGGGGCAGAAAGAGGCAAACCGCATGAAACATCCCCACAATCAGAACGCGAATCCTGAAGTGTCCCCACCTCTGGCGGTCCCGCCTTGGGGTGCCCAAGTGTAACGCCTGCTGAATCACGGTGAGCATTGGACTGCACATGGAAAGCGTGAGCGAGGGCAGAAACAGGCACGCCGCTTGAGACACCCCTCCAGTCTGACCGCGACTCCTGTCGTGTCCCCACCTTTGGCGCCCCCCTTCAGGAGTGCCGAAACCAACGCTTCGCCTGAGACATCCTCACAATCTGCCCAGACTGCAGATGGTGTCAGGGTGCGAAACAGGCCAACCGCTTGAGACATCCCCACAATCTCGGCGAGAATCCTGGAATGATTCTCCTCCCCTTCTGGCGCCCCCCCCCTCCCCCTTAGGAGTGCTGAAATCAGCGCCTCGCCTGAGACGTCTGTAAAATCTGCTCCGGAATCGGAGGATGTTGGGCATGCAGACAGGCATCGCGCTTGAGACATCCCCACAATGTGGGCGCGAATCCTGGAGTGTCCCCCCCTGGCCCCCCCTTCAGGAACGCTGGAACCAATACCTCGCCTGAAATATCACCAGAATCAGCTCCGACAGCTGAGGGTGTTGGGCATGCAAAACGCAAGCCGCCAGAGACATCCCCACGATCTAGGCGCGAAGCCTGGTGTTTCCCCGCCCGTGGCGCCCCCTCCTTGGGGTGCCCAAGTGCTACGGCTGTTGTAGCGCGGTGAGCATTGGACCACCAATGACTGAGAGTGGGTTTGTGTGAGCTAGCCTGAGTTCGATTGAGTCCGGGAGTGAATGAGCTTAAAGGCGAATGAGTCTGAGTGCGAGTGAGTCTGAGCGTGTTGACCCTGACGGCGAATGAGTCTGAATGTGAGCGAGTCAGAGTATTATGGCTGAGTCTGGGCGTGAGTCAATCTGAGTGTGATTGATTCCGAGTTTGACGAAGTATGAGTGAGTCTGAGTGCGAATGAGTCATTTTGATTGAGGCTAAGGCTAAGGGGGAATGGAGAAAGGGGAGGATGAGGAGGGTTTGCTTTCGGTGCCGTGTAAGTGAAAACAGACATCCAGTTTTAGGACCAGGGTCATATTTTTGAGGAGGTCCGCGCAAATGTCCTGGATAGGCGCTGGACCCTCCAAGGGGCGGCGCCAGAAACGCCGCCAGAGGGGTCAACGCCGACCCAAGAAATCCACGTGGAGCTCCGACAGTTACGCTTTTTCTTCATCTGGTTATGGCTCCCCTGCTCCCTACCATCAGCGATTAGCGGCGGCCTGGGCAGCGGCGCGGCGGCGACAGGGCGGTCGGCGACGGCGCGACGGCGACTCTGAGAAGCCTCAGCCTTTCTGGGGGGGGAGTGCCGGGTCCGCCTCGGGGTCCCGTCCAGGGCGCGCTGGCGGGAAACATCAGGAGATTGGTTCGGCGGCGAGCCCGGGGGGGGGAAAGAGAGGGGGCAGGCCTTCCCAGAAGGCGGCGGGGCTTCTCAAAAGCCTTTTTCGCTTTCTGAGACTTTTGCCAAGCCTTCTCCGAAGACGCCGACGGCTTCTCAGAAGGCCAGAGGGCCTCTGAGATGCCCAGCCGCCTTCGGAGAAGGCCTGCCCGCTCTCACTGCCCCGCTGGTCGCGCTGCCAGGGGGTGGGACAGACAAGGGCGGCGGCAGCAACGGCGGCGGCGGCGGCGGTGTCGGAAAGCGGCGGCGACGGCGGCGGCGGCGACGGCAGCGACGACAGCGGCGGCGGCGGCGGCAGCGGTGGCGGCAGCGAGGGGGGGGGGCAGGCCCGCTGCCACCTCGAGCGACGGCGACCCTCGCGACGAGCGCCAGCACCAGTCGGATCACTGGTCCTCGGGGGAGGACCCCGCTGCCGGTGCTGCTCCGCTTGCGGCTGCTGCCGCCGCCCTCCTCGCGTGCCCTCGCTGTCCTCTAACCCTCTCGTCCTCCTCGCGCCTCCTCCCCACCTGCTTCCATCCTCCTCCTTGCTTGTTTTCCACCACTCTCCCCCCTTGCTCCTCCTCCTCCTCCTCCTCCTCCTCCTTCTCCTTCTCGTCGTCTCTCCTCCTCCCTCCTCCCTCCCTCCCTCGGTCTCCTCCCTCACTCTCTCTCCCTCCTCTATCTTTCCCTCCCTCCCTCTCCCTGTTCTCCTGTTACCCCCTTTCCTCCTTTCCTCCTTCCTCCTGCTCCTCCCCTCCGTCTCCTCCTTTCCTGTTCCTGTCCTCCTGCTCCTCCTTTCCTCCCTCCCCTCCTCCTCCTCCCTCCCTCCCTCGCTCCCTGCCGCCACGACGGCGGTCGAGCAAGCGGAGCAGAAGCGTGCCCGTGAGGTCCCGTGTCCTCCTCCGCCGCCTCCTGCTGCTGCTGCTGCTGCTGCTGCTGCTGCTGCTGTCTCTGCTCCCCCTGTCTCGCCGCAGGCGTGCCGAGGGCCAGGGGGGATGCCTTCGACGTCACGGCTCGGCCGCTGGCGGCACACCTGACGAGAGTTTAAGCTCAAGTCGTGCATGTCCCTCTGCAGGGGGAGTATTGGAAATAGTCCTACAATACTCTGGGGCCGTTTTTTTGAGCAAGAACACCGATCGCTCCGGACCCGGGTCAGACCGAGCTGACAGCAGTACTGCAGATTTAAATGTCGGAGACCAAGCTCCGTGAATAACCACGCAAACTCAATCGCCCGGCAAGTGGCAGCACGCAGACGGGATGAGCCAAGCCACGAATGGTGGGAGAATCGCGAGGCGCAATTGCCAACGCGCCAGTGCCGAGACAGCCAGGCACGTACGGACATATATGTCAGCAAGGAGGGGAGGAGGAGCCAGAGGAGGAGGAGGAGGAGGAGCCAGAGGAGGAGGAGGAGGAGGAGGAGGAGGAGGAGGAGGAGGAGGAGGAGGAACAAAGAGAGAAGTCAAAGGCTGCCACTGGCCAGGCGATTGAGTTTGCATGGTTATTCACAGAGCTTGGTCTCCGACATTACCTCTGCAGTACTGCTGTCAGCTCGGTCTGACCCAGGTCTGGAGCGATCGGTGTTCTTGCTTATGCTACGCTCGGCGACGCATATTATATCAACGGTCGGAGGCCGTCTGGGGTTCGCGCACACACGCTACGTTTGTCTAGTGTGGTCGACGCTGCCAGCGAGTGCGAATGCTGTCCGACTCGCCTGTGAAGGCAAGCGTTTAAGCGGACATGAATAGTTTTGTTTTTGTCCCAATGCGTCTGGTCTACAGCATCACAAAAAACCTCTGGGGACGATTTTTTGAGTATGTTTAAGCATTTTGTGATTCTGTTTTGATTATCTTTAATTTAATCGCTTCGCTCATTCCGCCGGCCCATATTGCCTCGCCGCTGTCGGTTGTCGGGGTGTTGTTGTCAATGCGGTGCGGTTGGGCGGATGCCATTTTTCGGAGGCGGTGGGTGGCGGGTCAGAGGCCTCACGGATGTTGGTTGGGCTCTCGTGGTTGGCCTCTCAGGGGCCTTTTGGAGGCAGTTTTGAGGCCTCTTGGGGGCCGTGTTGGTGCTTTTTGGGGCCCCTTGGAGGGAGGCCTTTGGGGGCTTCTTGGGGTGCCTCTTGGGGGCCCCTTGGGGCCTCTTGGGGGCCTCTTGGAGCCTCCTGAGGGCCTCTTGGGGCTGAAGGCGGGACTTTTCGGTTCCTGGTCCCCTTCTTGGGCCCCTCTTGGGGCTGTTTTGGGGCTCTCTTGGGCTGTCTTGGGCGCCTCTTGGGCTGTCTTGGGGCCATCTTGGGCTCTTGGGCCCTCTTGGGTGCATTTTTGGGGCATGTTAGGCCATCTTGGGGCGATCTTGGGGGGCTCTTGGGTAGTCTTGGACGCTGTGAACCTCCGAACGTCGTCTATGCTAGAAATGTACGTTTTCCTACGGAAATGGAACGATTTTTGCTTGTTGGGGCCCTCTTGGAGGGCCCCTTGAGGCTCTCTTGGAGCTTCTCGGCGGCGTCTAGGGCCGTCTGGAGACCATCATGGGCGTCTTGGAGCAACCTTTCGGCGACTCGGGGCCCCTTGGACCGTCTTCTCGGGCATCGTCGGCCGATTTTTCGAGGACTCCAAGGGCTCTTGGACCTTCTGGGCCCTCTCTTGAGGCCGTCTTGGGCGCCTCTTGGGCCGCCTGGGGGGCCTCCGGCATCTCTGATGGGCACTTGCCGGGGACTTGCTGGGACCTTGGCGGGGTACTTGTCGCGTCGGGGCCCCCAGCGGCCGCCTCGCGCGCGCGAACTTGTTATATTCTTAATTTGTTGCCAGAGATCTTAGCACGCCTCTGGCCCGTTGGGCCGGAGAATTTTTCGTCCAACATCCATCTGTAGGAGGACACGCCCGACCTAAGTTTAAACGCTCTGAGCGTCTCATGTTGTATAGTGGTGTTGATGCGGTTATCCTCTCGCCCATCCAGGGGGGCCGAATTCATGTCGCGGGGGGCTGAGCTCGTACAGCGCGTATACCCTGAATGTCTACTGGGTAGCGCCCATCTGGCAATCTGGCAATGAGTGTCGACTAAGCACTGTCAGGAGTATCTGGACAGGATTTCTCGGGGGATTCCCCAACAACTCCTGGCTCGTCGCTTTCGTCCCCCACCGAGGCCAGCTTGATCAGTAGCGGCGCCCGCATCCGCAGCGGGGTCCACTCAACTCTACTCCACCCCCCCCTCTCTCCCCTCCCATCCCCCGAAGGATTCCTTGCACACCGACTACAAGGACTCCGACTACAAGAGCACGGACTATTACTTGGACCCCTCTCTCTCCCTCCTTCAAACGTCACGTATTTAACTGTCTCGCAGCAGATGTGCATGTTTCCATACACAACAGTGTATATAAGATGCTGGGCAAGAATGACCAATGGGGCCATCCCTCCTAGTACCCACGTTCGCTCTGAGTGTTTTCGTGCCCCACATCCTTGCTGGGCGGCTAGACACCGCTCCAAGAAGACCGCAAGACGCCCCCAGACTCCCCTAAGGGGCTCCCAGCTTCGGCTAGTGGTCCAATAATGCCGCCAGAGACTCCAAAAGAACTCCCTGAGACCGCCTTCAGATAGCCCTCCGAGCGCTCCCAGACCAGAAACACACGCACACACGCACGCACGCACGCACGCACGCACGCACGCACCCACACGCACACACACACACACACACACGCACCCACAGACATACACAGACACAGACACAGACACAGACACACACACACACACACACCCACCCACGCGCGCGTCATATTTTTGCAGATTCTGGGGGGGGGTGTTGGCCGGGCTGGCGTGGTATGATATCGTATTTCGGATGGGCGACCGGGCGGAGCCATGTGTAAATTGCAGCGCGAAATGGAGAACTGTTCATGTAGGGGGGGGGGCACAGTATTTCTTGCAGGGGACGAGGGGGGGGGGCGGTCCTGTCTTGGTCTGGCTGGCGAGGCGCGGATCAATTTAGGATGGGCGATGGGGCCGAATCTCATGTCAATTGCAATGCGAAAAGGGGCGCCGTTGATTTCGGAGGGAGGGGGGCCTTTATTTGTTTAGAGACAACCATTCGTCATGGAGACCTTGGAGTTGTCAACTCCACTGCTCGCGCATTCATCCCGCCCGCCCACCTGCAACTTAGTTTGCAAAGCCATTGCGGCGGCGATTGCGATGACTGCTTGGCGCTGGCTTGCGCATCGCTGCGGCCGCGCTAGCGCGCAGGCTCGCGCGCAGAGCGGCCGCCAAGTCTGGCGCGAACGACGCGGCCGCGGCGGCTCTGACCGCTGGGGACTTCCGGGCGCACCTCGCAGGCCGCGCAGACGCGCGGGCACTTCAGTGCCAGTCGGTGAGTCGGACGGGCGCAGTATCATGGCGACGTCGACAAAAGCTGACTCGAAGATGGTAGCGGCGATGCTGGTGACGACGATTTCGCTAACGACGGCAATGCCGATGACGGCACCGATGCCCGTCGCGCCAATGACGGCGACAATGTCCACGCTTCGGCAATGAGAGCTTCGGAAGGATTCCGACGTTCGCGCGCGGCCGACGAGTGCGAGTGGTCCGCGCTACATTATTTGACAGGGGTCGTGCCGCCCCAGGCATGCGCGCAAAAGGTGTTCGAATGATTTGTACGCATGCGCGCGCGGGGGGCCCGCGTGGCCTTCAATTGGCGAGAAGATGGGCATAGTTTGCACAAACAACAGAGGCACGCGTAGTAAACGCACAAGTCATGTGGCGACGCATTTGTTCAGTATGTTCGGGCACCTGGATCTTGAATTCCGCGCGAAACCCCCAGATGTTCAGGAAGTTTCGGCATGCGCGCGAGCGACGCCGCGCGCGTGTATCGTTTTCGTTTTTGAAAAGAGTGTGCGCGCATATAATTTAATAATTATTCGTTCCCGATGATGCGGGTGCCATTAGGCACCCTCCTGGATGGTGTAAGTTCATATTTGAAATCAACGATGGGGCCCAGTCGTATGTAAGCTGTATCAGCCCAAGGGGAGTCAAACAACCCGGTGAGGGAGGGGTAGCGGTGGTGGTATCGTGTGTTTTGCTTTAGGAGGGAGAAACTACGTAGTGAAAGTTGCATGGTGCATTTCATCGTGTCGAACTTGAAGTTGTCAACTCCATTGCTCGCGCAATCATCCCACCCGCCCACCCGCGATTTGGTTCGCCAAACCCATGCGGTGGCAATTGCCCTGACTGTTTGGCGTTGATTGGCGCATCGCCGCGGCCGCGCTAGCGCGCGCAGGCTCGCACGCAAAGCGGCTGGCTAGTGTGGCGCGACTGACGCGGCCGCGGTTGCGCTGACCGCCGGGGGATTCCCGGCGCGTCTCGCATGCCGCTCAGACGCGCGGGCACTTCAGTGCGAGTCCGTGACTCGTGCGGGCGCAATATCATGGCGACGTCGACGACTGCAGACGCGATGATGATTGTAGCGTTTCTGGTGACGACGAAAACGACGAGGACGGCATGGCCAATGACGGTGCCGATACTGCTCACGCCGACGATGATGCTGTCTTTGTGTCGGCGATGCAGGTTATGGAAAGATTTCGATTTTCGCGCGCGGTCGACGGGCGCGACTGACCCGCGCGGTATGCTTTGACAGGGATCCTGCCCCCTTGTTGCATGCGCGCCAGGGCTTTCGAATGATTTCGACATGCGCGTGGCGGAGGCCCGCGTGATTTTATTTGATGAACGTGTCGAAGAAATGGTGGTGTTTTTGCGCAGTATGATGAATGCGCGCATGTTTTGACGAACCATGTTGCAACACCCGTTTCAACATTCAGAAAATGTTTTCGGGGCACTCGAATTTGAATTCTTTACGACGTCGCAGGATTTTGAACGATTCCGGCGCGCGCGCGACGACGCGCGCGCGTGGATTTTTTGTGGCAATGGTTTTTTTCGAAACAAATAGTTCCCCACATCCAAAGTGGGTTCTTGTTTTCTCTGGACACCCTCCGCGCAGGAACCTCACCTCCTTCCCATTCTCCGCCTCACTCACGCATTCAATCCGTCATCGCTCATCATCACCATCGGTCATCATCATCACCACCGCCAGCATCATCATACTCGGTCGCTTCGCAATCGATCATCATCACCATCGGCCATCGATCGCCGTCATCATCATCAGCATCACCACCACCGCCATCATCATCATCGTATTCAGTCGCACATCGCACACACTCTTTCATCACTCAGCATCATTTTCTCTGGACACCCCGCGCAGGAACACACCACCACCATCTTTTGAGGACATCTCGCGGGACCCCCCCTATGGGGTTCGCATTTCACGTTGGTAATTCGAGCGGGTTATCCTCATCCATGTAACTGTCATCACTTTTGGGTCTCTGAGGCCTGACTTTGGAGGAAGGCTCAAGCGGGAGCCTCCTCTGTGAGTGAATTGCGAGGAAGGCTCAAGCGGGAACCACTTCCCGAAGGGGCCCGCGTTCCATGTTGGTAATCCGAGTGGGTCCTCCTCATCCGTGCAACTGTCGTCAGTTTTGGGCTCCTGAGGCTTGAGTATGGGGGAAGTATCCGGCGGGGGGCCTCGTCAGTGAGTGAATTGCGAGGAAGTCTCAGGCGGGAGCCCCCTCCCTATGGGGCCCGCAGTTCGCACTGGCAGTCCGAGCGGGTCATCCTCATCCGTGTAACTGTCGTCAGTTTTGGGCTCAGTTTTGGGCTCCCGAGGCTTGAGTATGGGGGAAGCATCAGGCGGGAGCTTCGTCTGTGAGTGAATTGTGGAAGTCTCAAGCGGGAACCCCCTCCCTATGGGGTCCGCCTTCCATGTTTTTAATCCGAGCGGGTCACCCTCATCTGTGTAACTGTCGTCACTTCTGGGCTCCCGAGGCCAGAATATGGGGGAAGTATCAGGCGGGGAGGCTCGTCTGTGAGTGCACTGTCAGGAAGTCTCAGGCGGGAGCCCCCTCCCAATGGGGCCCGCATTTCGCGTTTTCAATCTGAGCGGGTCATCCTCGAACCTGTAATTGTCGTCTTTTTGGGGCTCCCGAGGCCTGAGTATGGGGGAAGTATCAGGCGGGAGGCTCGTCTGCGAGTGACGTGCGAGGAAGTCTCAGGCGGGAGCTCCCTCCCTATGGGGCCCGCACCTCCCGTGCTTCCACTGGGTCGTCCTCCGGGTCGTCATCCGGCGCGCGCTTCCTCTGTGTCGTCCTCCGCCGCGTCTTTCTTGGGACGCACGTCGTGCGCTTCCTCTGGGTCGTGTTCCGCACGAGGAGGAGGAGGGGGAGGAGGAGGAGCAGGAGGAAGAGGAGGAGGACGAATGAGGAAGGAGGATGCAGGATGAGAAAGAGGAGGAGGAAGAGGAGGAGGAAGAGGAGGAGGAGGAGGAGGAGGAGGAGGAGGAGGACAAGGAGGAAGAGGAGTGCCTTAGGAGGCCCCAGGATGTCCCGGGAGGCCCAAGGCTCCAGGAGGCCCCAAGAGGCCCCAGGAGGAGGAGGAGGAGAAGGAGGAGGAGGAGAAGGAGGAGGAGGAGGAGGAGGAGGAGGAGGAGGAGGCAGGAGGAGGGGGAGGGAGAGGAGGAGGGGGAGGAAGATGGAGACGAGGAGGAGTAGGCGGAGGAGGGAGAGAGAGAGGAGAGGTGGGAGAGGGGAGGAGGAAGAGGAAGAGGAGGGAGAGGGAAAGCAGGAGGAGGAGGACGCAGGAGGCAGGAGGAACAGGGAAAATGGGGGGAGGAGGCATAACGAAGGGGAGGAAAAGGAGGAGGAGGAGGTGGTGGAAGAGGCAAGATGAGGAGGAGGAGGAGGAGGAGGAGGAGGAGGAGGAGGCAGGGGTTGAAGCAGGAGGAGGAGCAGGCAGGAGGAGAAGGATGAGGCAGGAGTAGGTGGGAGAAGGGAGGGGCAGGAGGAGATCCCCAGGTAAGCTAAACATTTTCTCATGCGGGGTCCTACCGTCGGAGTAATTTTGATAAGCGAGTGCGCGCGCGCACAGTACAGTATTACTTGACGAGGATGGGGGGGGGTCGATGCGGGGTTGGCTGGGATCATGCGAACTCGCATGTAAACCCAACGATGGGGCAGAATCGCATGTACATTGTACATGCGCAGGCCCTCGTGATAAGTCTGGGGGGTGGGCGGGAGAGAGTGGTGGATCGTAGTTCCTCGTAGGAAGAGAATCTACTTTGAGTCCCTCGCGCGTGACCCGCTTCCATTTTGGGGTAAACAGCCCACCCCCTCCCGCAAGTTGGTTTGCAGAACTCTTGCGGCGGCGATTGCCCTGACTGCTTGGCGTTGACTGGCGCATCGCTGCGGCCGCGCTGGCGCGCGCTGGCTCGCTTGCAGAGCGGCTGGTTAGTCTGGCGCGTCCGATGCGGCCGCGGTTGTGCTGACCGCCGGGGACTTCCCAGCGCGTCGCAGGCCGCGCTGACGCGCGGGCACTTCAGTACCAGTCGGTGACTCGGGCAGCCGCGGTATCATGGCGACGTCAAAGACGTTAGGCAC